AATTTCAGTGTGATATTTTATAATATCGTATTTATTCTTGAATATCAATACCATTATGTTGTACCCTTTTACTTGTTTTCTATGCAAAATTAAATTAAATTTGTTTTTTAACACTTTAAATATTTATTGGAAGATCTCGGAAAACATTCCTATTATACAATTTACTGTCTTTTCTTCCATTTGATTGTGTAATTCATTAGCTACGATAATCGTTTATTCAGCGGAACAACATCCTTTGCATGAATGGGCTGACCTTGTTTTCGCAACTTGCTCATTGTCAGGTAGACTTAGTTGGAGGCACCTTTTCCGAAGTCCTTTTCTATAATAGCTATCAATACCCAGCGTCGGATCGTGGACTTGGTACATTCCCAGACGCTTCGCCACCATCGTCAGACGGTATTGCTATTCTTAGCATCAAGCTACAACTCGTCAAAGAGACAAAGTCAATCCGTTGACAAACTTTCTGCAGAAATGGTTATGCTATCAAATCTCTATCTGCCCTGGCCTATCTATCTACTCTCTACCCACTTATCACACTCGCCCTATCATAACTTCTGATTTGTCTATATTCCACTCCTTAACAGATGTGTCCTTTTAGCGAGTTTAGTTCGTCGTCATCACCTGCTATTTACCTTGCTTCTCCCTTGATTTGCTGATCCGACTCGGGTTTCCTCTTTAGATCTGCCTCGTGAGCTCATATTGCCTAAGCAGACTCAGAGTAAATAAACAATAAGGAGACTGCGTGATAAGGGACCTTTCATTAACGACGACGTTTCGGAAATCATGCGAAGACGTTCTCAATGAGTGTGGTCTGCTCGAGAAAGCAACTACAACTTTGGAGCCTGTCAGTCACATGATCAGGGAGACGGATAATCACGACCGTCGTGGAAATTCGGCATTATAGCCAAATCAATTAGAAATTCACTTGAGATGCAGGAGGTGACCAGGAAGAGACGTTCACAATTTTCTCATCGTACACAGATTTAATCAAGGAAACGATTTATGAAAGTAATGCCTAATATCTGCCAGCAGTTGAATCATAGCCTAGTCCCTCTGCCCGGTGAGGTGACTGTACGTGCTTCTAAAGGCTTGAGAAATAGTGCCTTGAGTAAAACGTACACTGGGACTGGAATCGAGTGAAATCTTTCAATCAGAGAGATTAAAAACGAATATATCGGCCCATGAGGGAAGTCCGGATAAGAGGCTCGATTTGGATCAGCAGATAGAAACGGGTAAGGTAAACAGCAGGTGGAATGATGCCACACCAAACTCACCAAAAAAGGGCACATCTCTTGAGGAGTGGAATATAAATAAGTCAGAAGTTGTGATATGATAGGGAGTAGTTAGGTAGGCCAGGGCAGAAGGAGGAGTGATAGCACAATCGTTTCGGCAGAAAGTTGGTCAAGAGATTGAATTCACGTGTCTCCGACGAATTTTGGCTTGATGCTGGTAATTGCAAGACTCAATGATGCTTCCGGTGAATCGTCTGGGAACGTACTAAGTCCATGGTTCTACCCTGGGAATTATGATAGATACTATAGCAGAGGACGATCAAGTTGTGAAAACGAGGTCAACCCACTTCTATACGTTGAAAGGAGACTGCGACCGTAACAAAGGCTACAGTGTCTTGGTCTTCATCTCTTCTAATGTTGTTTATGCTATTTTTTAGTTTACTTTATTAACAAATATTACGATGTAGGGAGAATGATATTTTCAAATCGATTTTTTTTAATTTCTTGTACCTCTATAAGGGGTTCTAATACCCTAAAGCTGCTATCTTTGGTATTTGATGATCTAATTCGACCAGAGTTGGTCCTGACGCTGTTAGTCTGTTATCTATTTTGTAGCTCTGAATTCATGCTCGTTCATTTAATTGGCTAGCCTCTTAGCACGCCTACCAAATGATAAAGTTGATAAGTTACTGGGCAACACTATATTATAAGGGTAGATCATCTTCGGTGGATGAGGTATAGCTCCATGCGCATGTTTTTTTATTCTAATTAACTAATATTCTGACTAATCCCATTTCTATATTGGAGAAAAAACGAGTAATCAGTATACTTCCAAGACCAAGGTACCTTGCTTCGTCAAGCCATTTAGTCTACGAGTCATTCAAGCATACAAAAGTGCAACTTGATACATTTGTCGAAGTTATGAAGACCAAGATGATGTGGTATTTTGTATGGTTTTAGTCTTTTTTCTTTGTATAGAAGTCGATTGACCTTACTTTCGCAACCTGATCATATTGATAGGAAGGCCTAAAGGAACGCTCCTAGTCCGGAGTCGATAGTATGCAAGTTAATTTCCATAGTCCAACCGTGGACCTGGTAAATTCCCAGACGTTTCACCGGCATCGCCAGTGAGCATTGCCTATTTTAGCACCACACTACATCTCGTCAAAGAAACAAGTGAAGCCGATCCTTTGATTAATTGTCTGCTAAACGTGATATCTCTCCTTTGCTCTGGGCTAATCATCAATTCTATATCATCGTATCACCCCTTCATCAGAATTTTTACTTGCTTATTTAAAGGAGGTATGGTGTGCCCTTTTGAACAGATTTCATAAAACCTCTCCACACTCCACACTGGCTTTCTCTATCCCTTCACCCTTGTGCTATAATGTTGATCTGAGTTTGCCATAGGTCTTATCTGAGTCTCCCTCTTGTCTCGTAAGATCCATCTGCTATTTCATTGTTTCACTCGACCCATGCGACCCTATCCGTGCTACTCGAGGCGTTATTTCTCACATTGTCTCTGGGAGACTAACTTGAGGCTAAAGATCCTGAGTAATTCTCATGGTAAAGCCTTTGCTTCATGGAAAACGTGTTTGATCAAACACGTCTATTGTTAGCCAACTAGCTCTAGTCTCCATCGCATTTATAATGCTTCTATCCATAGTGCCAAGTATATGACTTACTACGCCCTAGTCTCTTGTGCGCCAAACCACAAACGTTGTGGTTCTACTTGTTTTGGTTAGTTTCAAAGTAGAACTATAACATTTGTGGGTTGGTACACAAGGGTGTAGGGCATAGGAAGTCATATACATGACACTGGATAATAAGTATTATAAATACGGTGGAGACTAGAGCTAGTTGGCTAACAGTAGACCTGTTTGATCATAAACTTGGTCCATGAAGCAAAGACTTGTCCATGATAATTACTCCAGGACTTTAGCCTCAAGTTTCCCAGAATTTAGGAAATAATACCTCGAGTCATACAAATAGGGTTGCAGGGGTCACGTGAAGTAATTGAACCAGGGAGGTAGCAAGCGGATCCTACGGGACAAGAGGGAGGCTTTGATAGGACCTATGGGAGGAGGAATGCGTAACAGTAGGGCATACTCTGATCAACATTCCCAGCACATGGGGGAATGGAGCTGAAAAAGCCAGTGTGGGGTGTGGAGAGTTTTCATTAAATCCGCTCAAAAGGGCACACTGCACCTCATTTAAATATGCAAGTAAAAATTGTGATGGTGAAGGGGTGATACGAGGATATAGAATTGATGATTAGCCCAGATACCACGCTTAACAGACAATTGGTCAAAGGATCGGCTTCACTTGTCTCTTTGACGAACTATGGTGTGGTGCTAAGACTGGCAATGCTCACTGGCGAAACGTCTGGGAATGTACCAGGTCCACGGTTCGAATCTGGAAATTATCATGCATACTATAGATTTTGAACTTAGTGCGTTCCTCTAGGTCTTCCTACGAATATGACCAAGTTGCGAAAACAAGGTCAGCCACCTTTGATTAATTTGTTTTCTTATATATACTAAAGAATCGTTGGATTTGATAAATTCAGTCTCCGGCACTTAGTTAACAATATTTGTTGGTGTGATTTATCCAATTTAAATATAAATCCATTACATTTTGGTCCATCCATTTTCACATTATTGCTTCGATTTCTTCTCTAGGTTCTGGCAGCATATTGCCTGTGTGCAGTCGCTTGGTCATACTTCATTCCGTCAACCAGACTATCGTTGCGAGATTTGTTCGTCTTCCCGGTCTCTAAGACAGGTTTCTCGAACTGGAACCTTAGATATTACCGGCGAAATTACTGCAACTGCTTCAGACGAATTGGCTGGTGCAAGCGGGGATTTAGAGACTCGTGAGGACGAACAATCTCGTGGGTTTTGTGGAACTGTTTTATTCTTAATATCTTATTTAATCAGCAACTTAATCTTATTTATTTTTCCTTGAACTTATATTCTATTGATAGAAATTCTATATTTCTTTATGTCGTTCATTTGGACTTTTTTATTTCATCATCACTTTCTTTTATGGCTTGAGCCATAGTACTTTAGTGATTGCTCTTTTTACTCCATCTTAGCTATATACTTCTATCTATAGCACAATCATTATTATAACTTTGGCTTGCTTTTCTACTTGTATAACATGCTAGGCATTTATCTAAGTCAACAAATTACAATTTTATTAAGCTTGCTTTGGTTAACTATCACTTGTCAAATAGGACTAGTAATTGACTGTTTCTTATGTCAGCAAGCAATCGGGTTTTCCAGCAATGGCAGCCTAGAAGAAGGGGGTTTTTAAGACTGTTTTATTATTTGATTGGCTAAGTTGAAATGATAATTTTCATTAATATCTTGTATCGGAAATTTCCTGACTATTGTCTTACTCTGCTCTTAGGGTTCCAGCATTGTACATTATTTGCTTCTAATAATTATTTAACCTATATGGAACCTAACTAAGCTGTATCGAGCAGCCTCCAAAGTGTATCCTCATGCCTAAATTAGGTCGGGGAGTCAGTTGAAGCATTTTTCTCTACTTATATAGATGAATCTAAATTTTTCCCAGGGAACGTCAGGGTAGTCATCTATTCGCTGAAAAGTAGTCTTTTGCCTTGCTGATCATACATAATTTAATTTCTATCTCCTACTTGTGATAATGTCACGGTTGTCATTCATTTTATTTTCAAAAAAATATGAGTAAATATATCGCTTTCATTTTTCTTCATTCGGTTCGAGGCGATTCAGATGTGGCTATCTCTAAGTCAGAACTGGCACTTTCTACTGTACTTGACCATACTACGTGTCCGTCTGAAGAAGCTTCCGCTCCTGAAATTCCTGCCTCCATTTTGCACTCCATCCCCACCGCAACGAACGCCATTGATAACTTTGCGCCCTCTCGTCAAGACTCCTCTGATCCCAGTGATCAAATTGTCCCTGCATCTGCGAGGGCCTTTTTGCCGACAGGCACAGGATTGGCCTCTCATTCGGCTACAGCTCCAGGCGATATAATTCACAGTAGTCTTTTGAATGGGACTACTGGGTATCCTGTCACTGGAACTGGCAGAGATATTGAAGAAGCAGGGGGATGGATGCCGATCGACTGGCGTAGTCTGGTTAGCATGTTTTGCTATTTAATGCAATTTGGTTCTCCATTATTTCATTTACTTGAGATTCATTCAGTGCGAAGTTTGCGTTTTCCATTTTGATTGCTATATCTGTCTATCATACCAATTGTATATATTGGCGTTGCTTTTCTGACATTGGCTATAGACTATAGATTACTTCGCGACGTTTCTTCTGTGCATCCTCTTATAAATTGAAATTCAAATCAATTGGTAAATAATTTTTCTGGGCACCCTTGATACTTCCAACTTTATTCCTATTATGCCACCAAGTAGAGTTGTGTACAATTTGTTCATTCTTCGA